TGATTTTAGGGTTCCCAAATGAGACGTTAGTGTATATAAACAAAGCATTAGTTGTTTGTTACCATTTTAGGTACCTTTTATTCTTGTGTTTTATCCTTAGTTAGTCCAATTAGGGATGACTGTATATAAATGAATAACCCTTGAAAAGTAGTCAATTTGAATTCTAAAGAGCTCAATTAGATTAGTGATGAATTTATTTGAGTTAGTAATTTCACAGTGGATTGTAAACTAATCATATAGGTACTTAGTGCATTAATTTTAAGTTTTGACTTTTCATCGAAAGTATTTAATATGAGAAATAGCCGTTGCTTGAAAACAGCTATATTATGTGCCAATTGTCTTATTTCTATTATTTGATCAATCACTTTTAATAATTTGTAATATTGTTTTACTACCTATAGAAAATTGTATTATAAAATATTGTATATATTCTTATAAGATAAAAAGATTAAGTTTTTAAAGTTTTTTGTTTGTTGACCCCAAACTAAATTGTATTGTCTTTGTATTGTGTAGTGTATTTTCACTGGTCTTCCAACCCCTGTTAAGGAAGTAAAAAAAGAGAAAATATAGAATGTCATATATATAAAACACAACACTAGCTGGCCCAACAGACGTCGTCCTGTCCTATTGTGGTTTTATGTCAAATGCTAATGCTCATTCATTTTCAAGATGAGCTCGTTCGCATTGCTCAATCACGTCCTGGTTGAAGTTTGATTGCTACGCTTACCCTCGTTAAGGTTGGAGCTCATTCGCTGCGCTCACTTGCCTTCAGGTTTAGCTCGTTCGCTACGCTAACTCACCTCCAGGTTAAAGTTTGTTCGCTACGCTCACTCACCTTTTGGTTGCAAATTAGCGGTTGTTATAAATTTTTAAAAATAATAGTGCTGCATCCTGTTGGTAAATCTATTAACTTTTTAATGCTATTGAACATCACAGAATCAAATTGTTTAGTTGAACCAGCTGTTAAGATTCTTTAATTCCATTTAAATATAAGTACTCATAAGGTTAACATGGGGAAACTCCAGAGCCACTGGGGTGGAGCCGATTGGACGGATCACGAAATTGATGGTGTATAAACCTAATCCATGAAATTCTACCCTTATGTACCAAGTTTCGTGGCAATCGGTCCAACAGTGTCCTAGCTCATAACGTTTAATCAAACATACAAACTTACTCTTTTAAGTAGATGGGAGATCAACGAGGCTGCTCCAAGGAATTCGTTTTCTTAAGACTTACCGTACTCTACAGACTGCTTTTGACCTGCTGAAAAACTGTCCCTAACCATATCTTTAAACTCTTTAAACTTAGTATATTTTCAGTATCTTAATCATGTTTATTTTTATCTTGCTTTAACTCTTCTTTTGACATGAACATCCAAATGTTTTTGGGTTTCTGATTCAAAGTGCAATTCACGTAAGAATTCATTCATTCTACCAACTACTAGAGTCCTTCATTGCTTAATTTAGGTGGGTCTCTCTCACAGACAGGTCAACTTCTCATATGGTAACACACCAGACCTGACTGAGATGAATTGTAGGCCTAACTCTATATTTACAGTGCTATCTCTTAGTTGGAGAGGCAAAACCTTAAGACTGGCCATAGATCAGTTGTACAGTTCTTTTCGCGAGTAAAATACCAGCTGGCAGTATGTTTAACAACATTGCGTCACCTGGGCGGTGAGCACTTTTTCCTATCGCCGCACCAAGGGTATAGATATCATTACGATATCATCCTTAATCGTACCGACGACAACTCGATTGTCTATTGCACAGCTGACACCAGCAAAGAAGAGAACGTAGTGTAAATACAAATAAATTTGTTTAATGGTTGAAAAATTATTTTGATATGACAAACCGATATTATCTTTCCTAGCACTAGGGAAATGTGTTCCCCAAACTAAGCCTGCCAGCTGTTCAGCTGTCTGCCTGCGCACTAGCATCTTTTTGTTTGGTTTTTCACTCGCGAAACGAAGTGTAACTGACAACCAAAAGTGTAATTGTCATAAACTTGACTCACAAGCTGCCAGCACATTTCAGTTATACCTGTAGATTTTGACTGTTTTGCTGATTTGTATTCATATAGTGAATTTCAAGTGGGTTTGGCTGTAGTCTTCCATCTGATAGTTGGAGCTCAAAGGAATAAATAAAAAAATTAACCATCAGCTTGAAGCATATTCGGGTAAGTTTGATAGTTAAATATAGTTATGTAACATTACTGATTTCATGTGTGAACAATCTCTTTCATCATCAAAGAGTCATTTACTTCAAGCTTTGACTATTAAAAAAATATTTAAAGTTTTTAATCAAAATGGATATAGCTGAAGTGAGCCATTGACATAAATTACTGATTTCAGTTGCATAATAGCATTTTTAACCTAGTAAAACTAATAGGACGACTTATTATAATTTATATTATCTTCAAGTCATGTCAACTATCCCAGTAAAAAATAAGGTAGAAAATAGAATTATAGACACCAGCGCAATATGTGTCTGGCTCACTCAACTTCATCCTTTTTTAATATTAAATTGGTGACAGCTTGTCAATATAGATGTCTTATTTCAGCAGCTAAAATAGTCAATACTACAAGTTTAAAAACGTTATTTGAATTTTAGAAGATGAAAAATATTTTTTTAACATGAAATTCATGTCAACATACTCAAACGTTACTCAGACATCAAGTTCACACATAAAGACCCAGGGTAAAAAAATGTATAATATACAGTATAATAAAAAATTGATGTAGTCATCCTGTCAAAAACAGAAATGACATAGAGGAGCTAACCAGACTGTATATAAAACAGAGAAAATCGGCCTAAAAGTTAATGATGAGAGGACAAAATCCATGCACTTCACAAGACAGCCAAATGAAATTAGATAAAATAAAATTATTATAGATGGACATCATTTTGAAGTTTTTGAACAAAATTTAAATATCTAGGGGTAATTATATCAAGCAGTAATAGTGAAGAAATGGAAACAAACTATAGGATTGCTCAGGCCAATAAATGCATGTACACTTAAAAGAAATTTGAAATTTTTGACTTCAAAGATTCTCTCGCATAGAACAAAAATAAAAATATATCATACTGAAATTTGACCAGTATTAACTTACAAAGCTGAAACTTGAATTTTAAACAAAGAAGAAAAACACAAAGTGATTGTTTTTGAAAACAAAATTTTAAGAATGATATATAGCCCAACACAAGAAAATGGAGAATGGAGAAAAAGGCATAATAGGGAGATGAGGGAGGAATATGTATAATGATTATGATGTAAATAGCACACGTGAAAGCAAGGAGAATACGGGGCAATACGGAGAAAACTGAGTTTACTATTAAAAGAAGCAAGAATAGGAAAGCCAGAAGGGAACCGACCATTAGGAAGGCCCAAGAAGAGATGGTGGGATAGTGTCTCCAAGGACGTCAGAGAAGTGGGGGCAGCAGTTAAAGAGGCAGAAGATAGGAGAGCAGTTGTTGGTGCGTGTGGCCAAATCCCATCTTGGGCATAAATGGCCATTGGAGTGAGTGAGGATTTAAATAGAGAAATCTACACTCGAATCACAGAATCAAAAGCCATTTGTGTCAGTCACAAAACACTTATTAGCAAAGGAGCAATATCAAATTATCAAATTTAATCTATTTAGGCTACTTCCATCACTGCCATGTTTTTGCGATTCTTTAAAAATACACTATAGAGTTTTAAGTGGGTACTCCTAGGTAGTAAACAACACACGTTCAAATTACATCTTTATTCTTTTACAAAAAAACATCATTTACAACAAATAATTTAAGCTTACAAACAAATTTAAACATGATAAACTATGGATAAATAATAACACATGACCAAATTTAAAAACAGACACCAAAGTTTAAGGTTAAACACACGCAAACAAACAGGTTAAAGATACCAAACAAACAGGTTAAAGATACCAAACAAACAGGTTAAAGATACCAAACAAACAGGTTAAAGATACCAAACAAACAGGTTAAAGATACCAAACAAACAGCCTCGGATACCATGCAATTTTTCACAAACACATGCAGGTAAATCGGAAAACAATTACCGTAACTCCATTCCACAACCAATGATTGGAAGGGATAAGGAAGGAATATTAACAGATTGGTCAATTTTTGCCCTCAGACTATATGACTATCCACTGATTTTTAATTCCTTGAACTAATCAAAAATAAGAAAGATGTATTTCTAAACTATTTTGATAAAAGAACTAAAAAGTATCCTTGCACATTGAAAGTATGCATAAAGTAGTTAAAAATAAGCTAAAAGAAACGGGTGGATATTTACAATAAATAGCAGATCAAGATTAGATAAGAATAACATAAATAAATATAAAATAGAATACAGTGAAGTTTAAGAGTATTTACAATTAAAATGGAAATAGTTTAAGTTAAAACTTACTAATCGGACTGCCCAAGTCTCATATTAGATTATTTAAATTAATAATTAAATAAAAATATAACAATATTAATGTGTGCCGTGGCTTAATATTTAAATTTCAGGTTAACATAAATTATACATTGCATGTAAACATAGGTACCTGGTTTTGAATTAACTAGACTAGTTTTACCTTATCCCTTTTTTCTATCATTAGTGCAGGAATGTTTGGAAGGGAAGCGTTATTATTAACTTTTTATAACATTACTTTATAAAATGCAGATGAATATTTACAGAATAAAAGTACACAGTAATTTTGTTAGCACCGTATTTATAATTTGATTATTCAATGTAAAATTAACAAAATGTTTATGATAACCAATCCATCCCAAGTTAATATTAAGTTAAATTGGGAAAGCTTTTAAGTAAAAATCTAAAAATGTAATTTACACTGTAACTGTACTAGTTCTAGATATGGTACAAAATTAGCAAGGAAATTGACAAATTTGGTGTTTGAAATTTTGGCTAAGAAATTGTAAGAAATTTAATAGTCAATTAGTTTATACTTGATTTTATAGAGTGAGAAAAAATATTTCTCTGGAGTTTGTGACTGACTCATAGGATAAGACATGTTCTCTTCAAAACATTCCCACAGTATACTATTAAAAAGAATAAGGTAGACCAGCCTTAGAAGTAATGTTAAAGTTCTACATAATTGGAAGGCGGTTTTCAGAGGGTAAGGAGACACTGGAGGGTTTGGTTTTCAATAAATTATCTGAAATAAAAGAGAAACAAGGAGGGATAAGTGGCAAGAAAGGTAAAAGACACAAATGTGCAGTTTTACACATGCAGCAAGCAGTAGTGGTCAAGTTGTAGAGGAAGTGTAAATAACTTCTCGGTCAGCATTGAACATAAAAATACACAAAAATACAGAAAACAAACACACAACAAATAACAGATAAAATATACAGAAAGTAAATAAAAATATGTCTAAAATATTTTATAAATATTTAAGCATGTTTAGCCTCTGGATCACGTAATTTACTAATAAAAGGTTAAATCCCTTTAGTACTGTCTGTGATCCTGGAATTTAGGTCAGCGACCCAGGTTTCGAACCTTAAGGTTCATTTTCAAGCAGGTACCAGAGTTAAAAACACATAATCCTCTTCATAACTGTGGAGAGTCGTTATAACACACAAGACACAAACACGAAAACATTAAACATTGAACAAAATTGGCCAATTATAATACTGGTACGGTAGCGTGCGTGGTGTAGCCGGCAAAAGATGAGTCATGACTGGGCACGCGTACGCGTCGATGTCGGAGCGTGACGTATGTGCCCCCTCCCACTCCCGTTCATTTACGGCTACTTCAATCAAAAATAAACTACAAGAAAACAACGCAGTTATCACCAAAGCAGATAAAGGGAATTGTATTGTTATCTTAAACAAGGATGATTATGTCAACAAAGTCCACAACTTCATTAACGATAACAACATTGAACTTTTAAGCCATGACCCAACTTCCTCGTTTTCAAAGGACATAAACAAAATTATTTCTCTCAGCACCAACCTTTTAACTGCAGACGAAATTAAATACTTAAAAGTTACAAAACCACAAGCACCAATTTTACGTGGTTTGCCGAAGATCCATAAGACTAATATCCCGATCAGGCCTTTAGTTAACTTCACCCCTTCACCCGCTTATAAAATAGCTAAGACTCTCGACAAAATCATTCGTAGAGAAACTAAGTTAGAGAATAGCTATTCCATTAAAAACACCTTAGAGTTGGTCGACAAGTTATCAAAAATCAATTACAACCCACGATACAACATGGCCTCATTTGACATTGTTAACTTGTTCACTAATGTTCCAATCAACGAAACAATAAATATTCTAAGGAATAATCTTGATAAAAACTCCACATTATCAGATCACGCTAAAGAAGAATTGTTAATCTTAACCGAAGCAGTATTAAAACAGAACTATTTTATGTTTGATAATGAATATTATACATCCAGAACGAAGGCATGGCCATGGGATCTCCTTTGTCCAGTGTACTAACTGAGCTATTTTTAAACAAAATCGAAGTAGAACACCTATGGTCTGATAAGGACCGCCAGAAAGATAAGATAATATTCTATTGCCGCTACGTCGATGACACGTTCCTTCTCTTTAATGGTAACATAAGACAGCTTAATATCCTCAACTCATATCTCAATTCCATCCACAAGAATTTAAAGTTTACTTTAGAGGAAGAGAACAACAACAAGCTTAATTTCCTGGACGTAACAATAACTAAACATCCCAACAATTTCACTTTCAATATTTACAGGAAACCAACCACAACTGACCAAACGATCCATTCTTCATCTCATCACCCGTACAGTCACAAAATGGCTGCATACAATAGCTTTGTTCACAGACTTATTTCTCTACCTCTTAATGAAGATAGTTATAACGAGGAACTTAACATCATAAAACACATAGCAGTATCTAATGGATATAAAAGTTCCATCATAGACAAAATAGTAATTAAACATAAAAATGAAAGCAGACCTAAGGTGTCAAAAGATAAGCAGAAATACGTTTCCACTGAATATGGCACAGTATTGAACAATAGCCTTAAATCTGAAATGACTAAGAACAATTTTAAAATGTCATTTAAAAGGTCAAATAAATTATCTCATCGCCTAAAACCACGAATTGTACAAAACACTGCTAATTTTGATAAGACAGGAATATATCAAATTAAATGCAATGACTGTCCCAGCTACTACATTGGACAAACAGCTCGTTCGTTTACACAAAGATTCAAAGAACACCTGCCTAAAAAATCTACCAAATCTGCATTCGCAAACCATCTGATTGACACAAACCATAATTACACCGACATCGATACCAATCTGGACATATTGCATTACTGCAGAAAAGGCAAGCATATGAACACCATCGAAGAGTTTGAAATATACCGATCATCCAAAAACAGTCCTACCCATTTGCTCAATGAAAAATTATCCTTCGAGTCAAATTTAATTTACAACACTGCAATAGATATGATAGATGGCAGTGTCAGTGTAAGGCGAGGATCTGACAAAGACAACGGGAGTGGGAGGGGGCACATACGTCACGCTCCGACATCGACGCGTACGCGTGCCCAGTCATGACTCATCTTTTGCCGGCTACACCACGCACGCTACCATACCAGTATTATAATTGGCCAATTTTGTTTAATGTTTAATGTTTTCGTGTTCGTGTCTTGTGTGTTATAACGACTCTCCACAGTTATGAAGAGGATTATGTGTTTTTAACTATGGTACCTGCTTGAAAATGAACCTTTAGGTTCGAAACCTGGGTCGCTGACCTAAATTCCAGGATCACAGACAGTACTACAGGTATTTAACCTTTTATTAATAAATATTTAGACTTCTACTGTTTAACGGGTCGGTAAATACTGACGTCGAGTCAGGAGATGAGCCCTGCGCCCTGGCCTACCTTGCGTATGAAGGCGCTACTGCGCTATTAGCCGTCAGATGACCCTGACGTTAGCGAATACGTTTGTGCGTGCAAGTAACATTTTAATTTAAATGTATAAGTGTCAACCTATTGTGTTAATAGTGTACAGGGTTAATTATTCCGTTAATTATTCCGTTAATTATTGATATTTCAGCAATTTCAAATGTGTGTTTTTTTTAAATTTAAATATGTAAAGTGTATTTTTACATTTACAGAACCATATTATTAATTGGTTAATAGGCCTATACATCAAAACAGAAAATTATAATGAATGTTTATGTTACCGGTTTTGGTTTCATATTTATTTGATTTACGTTTTTATTTAAACAATTATTCTAACTACTCATATTATTGATATTTCAGCAATTTCAAATGTGTGTTTTTTTTAAATTTAAATATGTAAAGTGTATTTTTACATTTACAAAACCATATTATTAATTGGTTAATAGGCCTATACATCAAAACAGAAAATTATAATGAATGTTTATGTTACCGGTTTTGGTTTCATATTTATTTGATTTACGTTTTTATTTAAACAATTATTCTAACTACTCATATTCGATAGATTAATACCACTGTTTTAGTACGGTAGTCTACAAACTAAAACACAATGAAAACTGTAAGTTACACAATTTTTATTTACACGAAAACACACATGAACATGATGTGTATTGTTACGAATTAATTACTTACAATTTACATTAATGGAAGAGGTTGTGCCAAGTCCATGTCCTCGTTGTCTTCAGAACCACTATCGTTGTTACCATCCACAGAGCTGGACGAAGATTCGTCACTTTCCTCCCCAAGATGTATGATCATCTCGTCCACAGCTTCTTCCATCAAGCCATCCTTGGCCCAGTAGTCCTTCTCAATATTGATGACATGGTGACAAAAGTTTTTCCATGTGGCATTACTGACGCTATCCAAAGCTTCGATGGCAAGTTCTTGCAGAGAACTTAGTGACATGTTTCCTGATGTATTTCTGGATCTTACATGGTGCTTAACCTTCGACCAGACGAACTCAATAGCATTAAGATCGCACATGTAGGGTGGAAGCCGTACTACTGTGTGTCCGAATTCTGTCAGGAGTTTGTCTATTTTAAATATTTTTTGTGGAGGTTTCAAACGTTGAATTGCTTCTAACAAATCTGATTTTCTGGTGGACTTCTCATCGTAGTTTTCACCATGCCTTTGGAGCCATTCAAGCATTGTTCTTTTAGTGGCCGATTTTGTTGGCACTTTGTCTTCTTGCTCCCCATGATATGGAGCATTGTCAATTACCAGTACGGAATGTTCAGGTAAGTTTGGAATAACTTGATTCCGTATCCATTTATCAAAATTATTGGCGTTCATCTGACCGTGGTAATCACCAGTGGTACTGTTAGCTTTGTAAATCAGTCTTCCTCCAGTTAAAAATCCATCCTCAGAGCCTATATCAACAATAATAAGTCTATTAGATGAATTCATGTCAGACAGCACTCCATCAATCTCATCATTTTGCCAACATTTTTTAAACGTCAAGTTTCCATCCACCCACGTCTCGTCCAGATAAAAGATTTTACGGCCATTCTCCCTGAATTTTTTTATTTCACGTAAATATTTACATCTCCAGTTTACAATATCGTTTCTCTCTATCAAAACCTTCCTCCTGGACTTGCATTTTTTCCACCTGAACCCCATTTCTTTCAGGACACGGCGTAAAGTCCAATCACTCCATCCAAAATTTATCCTTTCTTTTAAAATTGGCAAAATCTTTTTGCAAGTTGGAACCACTTTTTTCTGGACATAAAACTCTCTGATTACATCCAGAATGACACGTCTATCAAAACCATCAATAGTAGCGTTGCGGTGATCAGGTCTTTTTCTTTTTTTTCCAGGGGTACTCAATTTTGAATCAGGTGTCAGCTTCCCTTCCTTTCTGATTCGTTTCACAGTAGCTTGAGAAACTTTGCAGTAATTTGCAGCCCGCTCCGTAGCCTTTGAAATAGGAAACAACAAAGATTTGTCCTTCGCTTCCTGATCACAACACTGGATAACTCCACGAATCACTTCGCGTTCACTACTGTGCACGGTTGAACCATGACTTCTCGTGTTATGCATTTTTAACTACTCGAAAAATAACCACAGACGTAATAACCACTCCGCACTCATAAATGAAGGTTGGAACTAAACTAACTAAAAATATTAGGGATGGGGGTAAGAGAGGAAGGATGACTCATAGGACGAGTCCAAGTTCAAGGTGAGACAGCGTCGAGTAAA